CCCCAGTAACCAGAAGATTGCTTACTATGTCTGTGTGTCTGTTTCTGTTCTGTAGTTGAGTTCACAGGGTCCTTTTTTCTTTCCTTTTTTTTTCAAATTGCATGTATGAGTGATACCATATGGTATTTTTCTTTCTCTTTCTGGCTTACTTCACTTAGAATGACATTCTCCAGGTCCATCCATGTTGCTGCAAATTGCATTTTATTCTTTTGTATGGCTGAGTAGTATTCCATTGTATAAATATACCACAGCTTCTTTATCCAGTCAACTGTCAATGGACATTTAGATTGTTTCCATGTCTTAGCTATTGTAAATAGCGCTACTATGAACATTGGGGTATAGGCGTCTTTTTGAATTAGGGTTCCTTCTGGATATAGGCCCAGAAGTGGGATTGCTGGATCATATAGTAAGACTATTTTTACTTTTTTGAGGACTCTCCATACTGTTTTCCATAATGGCCGCACCAAACTACATTCCCATCAGCAGTGTAGGAGGGTTCCCTTTTCTCCACACTCTCTCCAGCATTTATCATTTGTGGACTTTTGAATGATGGGCATTCTGACTGGTGTGAGGTGATACTCATTGTAGTTTTGATTTCCATTTCTCTGATAATTAACGATACTGAGCATTTTTTTTTTTGTGTGCCTATTGGCCATTTGTATGTCTTCATTAGAGAATTGCTTGTTTAGGTCCTCTGCCCATTTTTAGATTGGGTTGTTTGTTTTTTTGTTCTTAAGTTATATGAGCTGTTTATATATTCTGGAAATTAAGCCTTTGTCAGTTGCATCATTTGCAGATATTGTCTCCCATTCTGTAAGTTGTCCTTTTGTTTTACTTACGGTTTCCTTTGCTGTGCAAAAGCTTATGAATTTAATTAGGTCCCATTTGTTTATTTTTGCTCTTATTTTCATTGCCTGAGTAGACTGCCCCCTATTTTTATTTTTTTAAGGAATCTCCATACTGTCCTCCATAGCGACTGCACCAATTTACATTCCCACCAACAGTGTAGGAGGGTTCCTTTTTCTCCACATCCTCTGCAGCATTTATTTGTAGACTTTTTGATGACCAATGTAAGGTGCTACCTCTTTGCAGTTTTGATTTGCATTTGTCTAATAATTGGCGATATTGAGCATCTTCTCATGTCACTCTTGGTTATCTGTATGTCCTTGGAGAAGTATGTATTTAGGTCTTCTGTTCATTTTTTGAATGGGCTTTTTGTTTTTTGATACTGAATTGTATGAGCTGTTTGTGTATTTTAGGAATTAATCCTTTGTTGACCTCATCATTTGCAAATATTTTCTCCCACTCAGCAGGTTGTCTTTTCATGTTATTTGTGGTTTCCTTTGCTATGCAAAAGCTTATAAGTTTAATTAGGTCCCATTTATTTATTTATTGTTTTTATTTCCATTACTCTAGGTGATGGATCCAAAAAATAGTGCTGTGATTTATGTCAAACAGTGTTCTGTTTATGTTTTCCTAAGAGTTTTATAGTCTATGGTCTTAAATTTAGGTCTTTAATCCATTTTGAGTTTATTTGTATATGGTGTTAGAGAATTTCTAATTTCATTCTTTTGTATGTAGCCGTCCAGTTTCCCCAGCACAACTTATTGAAGAGACTATCTTTTTTCCATTGTATATTCTTGCCTCCTTTGTCATAGATTAATTGACCATAAGTATGTGAGTTTATTTCTGGGCTCTCTGTCCTGTTCCATTGATCTAAGTGTCTGTTTTTGTGCCAGTACCTTACTGTTCTGATTACTGTAGCTTTGCAGTCTGCAGTCAGGGAGCTTGATTCCTCCAGCTCCATTCTTCTTTCTCAAAATTGTTTTGGTTCTTCAGCATTGTTTTTCCATATAAATTAAAAAATTTTTTGTCCTAGTTCTGTGAAACATGCCATTGGTAATTTTATAGGGATCACATTGAATCTGTAGCTTGCCTTGGGTAGTCATTTTAACAATACTGATTCTTCCAATACAAGAATACGGTGTATCTTTCCATCTGTTTATGTCATCGTCAGTTTCTTTGATCGGTGTCTTGTAGTTTTCAGAGTACAGGTCTTTTGTCTCCTTAGCTAGGTTTATTCCTAGGTATTTTATTCTTTTTGATGTGATGGTAAGTGGGGTTGTTCTCTTAATTTCTCTTTCTGATATTTCATTGTCAGTGTATAGAAATGCAACTGATTTCTGTATATGAATTTTGTTATCCTGCAACTTTACCAAATTCATTGCTGAGCTCTAGTAGTTTTCTGGTAGCATCTTTAGGATATTCTATGCATAGTGTTGTGCCACCTGGAAACAGTGACAGTTTTATTTCATTTTTTATGATTTGGATTCCTTTTATTGATTTTCCTTCTCTTACTGCTGTCTCTAGGGCTTCCAAAACTATGTTGAATAAAAGTGGCAAGAGTGGCCATCCTTGTCTTCTTGTTCCTGATCTCAGAGGAAAGGCTTTCAGCTTTTCAACACTGAGTATGATGTTAGCTGTGGGTTTGTCATATACAGCCTTCATTATGTTTAGGTATGCTCCCTCTATGCCCACTTCCTGGGAAGTTTTTATTATAAATAGATGTTGAATTTTATCAAAAGTTTTTTCTGCATCTCTTGATATGATCGTATGGTTTTTAGTCTTTGATTTGTTATTGTGGTGTATTATACTGATTGATTTGCAGATACTGAAAAATCGTTGCATCCCTGGGATAAATCCCAGTTGATCATGGTGTATGATCCTTTTTTATGTATCATTAGAGTCAGTTTGTTAGTATTTTGTTGACGATTTTTGGATCTTATGTTCAACAGTGATATTGGCCTGGAATTTTCTTTGTGATATTTGTCACAAATCAGATATCACAAAAAAAAGATATGTGATTTGTCTGGTTTTGGTATGAGGGTGATGGTGGCCTAATAAAATGAGTTCAGAAGTGTTCTTCCTCTGCAATTTTTTGGAATAGTTTCAGGAGGAGAGATGTTAACTCTTCCCTAAATGTTTGGTAGAATTCACCTGTGAAGCCATCTGGTCCTGGACTTTTGTTTTGGGGGAGTTTTAAAATAGCTGATTGGATTTCAGTACTGGTAGTTGGTTTGTTCATATTTTCTATTTCTTCCTGGTTCAGTCTTGGGAGATCTTACCTTTCTAAGAGTTTGTCTATTTCTTCTAGGTTCTCCATTTTATTGGCGTGTAGTTGCTCATAGTAGTCTCTTATGTTCCCTTATATTTCTGTGATGTAAGTTGTAACTTCTCCTTTTTCATTTCTGCTATTATTGATTTGGGCCCTCTTCCTTTTTTTCTTGGTGAGTCTGACTAAAGGCTTATCAAATTTTGTTTATCTTTTCAAAGAACCAGCTTTTAGTTTCATTGATCTTTTCTTTTTTTTTTTTTTGTCTCTATTTCTGTTCTGGTCTTTATGATTTCTTCCCTTCTACTAACTTTGGGTCTTGTTTGTTCTTTTTCTAGTTGTTTTAGGTGTAAGGTTAGGTAGTTTATTTGAGATTTTTTTTCTTGTTCCTGAGGTAAGCTTTTATTGCTATAAACTTCCCTCTTAGAACTGCTTTTACTGTGTCCCATAGGTTTTGTATTACCATGTTTTTGTTTTCATTTGTGTCTAGGTATTTTTTGTCCTTGATTTCTTCAGTGATTCATTAGTTGTTTAGTAGCATATTGTTTAGCT